TTGGTGCTAGTGTTACACTAAGTGTTACACTAAGTGTTTCTGGGGGTAGAAGGTCCTTGGTGCTTGTGTTACACTAAGTGTTTCTGGGGGTAGAAGGTCCTTGGTGCTAGTGTTACACTAAGTGTTTCTGGGGGTAGAAGGTCCTTGGTGCTAGTGTTACACTAAGTGTTTCTGGGGGTAGAAGGTCCTTGGTGCTAGTGTTACACTAAGTGTTTCTGGGGGTAGAAGGTCCTTGGTGCTAGTGTTACACTAAGTGTTTCTGGGGGTAGAAGGTCCTTGGTGCTAGTGTTACACTAAGTGTTTCTGGGGGTAGAAGGTCCTTGGTGCTAGAAGTGTTACACTAAGTGTTTCTGGGGGTAGAAGGTCCTTGGTGCTAGTGTTACACTAAGTGTTTCTGGGGGTAGAAGGTCCTTGGTGCTAGTGTTACACTAAGTGTTTCTGGGGGTAGAAGGTCCTTGGTGCTAGTGTTACACTAAGTGTTTCTGGGGGTAGAAGGTCCTTGGTGCTAGTGTTACACTAAGTGTTTACACTAAGTGAAGGGGGTAGAAGGTCCTTGGTGCTTGTGTTACACTAAGTGTTTCTGGGGGTAGAAGGTCCTTGGTGCTAGTGTTACACTAAGTGTTTCTGGGGGTAGAAGGTCCTTGGTGCTAGTGTTACACTAAGTGTTTCTGGGGGTAGAAGGTCCTTGGTGCTAGTAAGTTACACTAAGTGTTTCTGGGGGTAGAAGGTCCTTGGTGCTAGTGTTACACTAAGTGTTTGTTTGGGGGTAGAAGGTCCTTGGTGCTAGTGTTACACTAAGTGTTTCTGGGGGTAGAAGGTCCTTGGTGCTAGTGTTACACTAAGTGTTTCTGGGGGTAGAAGTGTTTACACTAAGTGTTTCTGGGGGTAGAAGGTCCTTGGTGCTAGTGTTACACTAAGTGTTTCTAAGTGGGGGTAGAAGGTCCTTGGTGCTAGTGTTACACTAAGTGTTTCTAAGGTTTCTGGGGGTAGAAGGTCCTTGGTGCTAGTGTTACACTAAGTGTTTCTGGGGGTAGAAGGTCCTTGGTGCTAGTGTTACACTAAGTGTTTCTGGGGGTAGAAGGTCCTTGGTGCTAGTGTTACACTAAGTGTTTCTGGGGGTAGAAGGTCCTTGCTAGTGCTAGTGTTACACTAAGTGTTTCTGGGGGTAGAAGGTCCTTGGTGCTAGTGTTACACTAAGTGTTTCTGGGGGTAGAAGGTCCTTGGTGCTTGTGTTACACTAAGTGTTTCTGGGGGTAGAAGGTCCTTGGTGCTAGTGTTACACTAAGTGTTTCTGGGGGTAGAAGGTCCTTGGTGCTAGTGTTACACTAAGTGTTTCTGGGGGTAGAAGGTCCTTGGTGCTAGTGTTACTAACTAAGTGTTTCTGGGGTAGAAGGTCCTTGGTGTGTGTTACACTAAGTGTTTCTGGGGGTAGAAGGTCCTTGGTGCTAGTGTTACACTAAGTGTTTCTGGGGGTAGAAGGTCCTTGGTGCTAGTGTTACACTAAGTGTTTCTGGGGGTAGAAGGTCCTTGGTGCTAGTGTTACACTAAGTGTTTCTGGGGGTAGAAGGTCCTTGGTGCTTGTGTTACACTAAGTGTTTCTGGGGGTAGAAGGTCCTTGGTGCTAGTGAAGTGTTCCTGGGGGTAGAAGGTCCTTGGTGCTAGTGTTACACTAAGTGTTTCTGGGGGTAGAAGGTCCTTGGTGCTAGTGTTACACTAAGTGTTTCTGGGGGTAGAAGGTCCTTGGTGCTAGTGTTACACTAAGTGTTACACTCTGGGGGTAGAAGGTCCTTGGTGGTGTTACACTAAGTGTTTCTGGGGGTAGAAGGTCCTTGGTGCTAGTGTTACACTAAGTGTTTCTGGGGGTAGAAGGTCCTTGGTGCTAGTGTTACACTAAGTGTTTCTGGGGGTAGAAGGTCCTTGGTGCTAGTGTTACACTAAGTGTTTCTGGGGGTAGAAGGTCCTTGGTGCTAGTGTTACACTAAGTGTTTCTGGGGGTAGAAGGTCCTTGGTGCTAGTGTTACACTAAGTGTTTCTGGGGGTAGAAGGTCCTTGGTGCTAGTGTTACACTAAGTGTTTCTGGGGGTAGAAGGTCCTTGGTGCTTGTGTTACACTAAGTGTTTCTGGGGGTAGAAGGTCCTTGGTGCTAGTGTTACACTAAGTGTTTCTGGGGGTAGAAGGTCCTTGGTGCTAGTGTTACACTAAGTGTTTCTGGGGGTAGAAGGTCCTTGGTGCTAGTGTTACACTAAGTGTTACACTAAGTGTTTCTGGGGGTAGAAGGTCCTTGGTGCTTGTGTTACACTAAGTGTTTCTGGGGGGTAGAAGGTCCTTGGTGCTAGTGTTACACTAAGTGTTTCTGGGGGTAGAAGGTCCTTGGTGCTTGGTGCTTGTGTTACACTAAGTGTTTCTGGGGGTAGAAGGTCCTTGGTGCTAGTGTTACACTAAGTGTTTCTGGGGGTAGAAGGTCCTTGGTGCTTGTGTTACAATAAGTGTTACACTAAGTGTTTCTGGGGGTAGAAGGTCCTTGGTGCTAGTGTTACACTAAGTGTTTCTGGGGGTAGAAGGTCCTTGGTGCTAGTGTTACACTAAGTGTTTCTGGGGGTAGAAGGTCCTTGGTGCTTGTGTTACACTAAGTGTTTCTGGGGGTAGAAGGTCCTTGGTGCTTGTGTTACACTAAGTGTTTCTGGGGGTAGAAGGTCCTTGGTGCTAGTGTTACACTAAGTGTTTCTGGGGGGGAGAAGGTCCTTGGTGCTAGTGTTACACTAAGTGTTTCTGGGGGTAGAAGGTCCTTGGTGCTAAGTGTTACACTAAGTGTTTCTGGGGGTAGAAGGTCCTTGGTGCTAGTGTTACACTAAGTGTTTCTGGGGGTAGAAGGTCCTTGGTGCTTGTGTTACACTAAGTGTTTAGAAGGTGGGGGTAGAAGGTCCTTGGTGCTAGTGTTACACTAAGTGTTTCTGGGGGTAGAAGGTCCTTGGTGCTAGTGTTACACTAAGTGTTTCTGGGGGTAGAAGGTCCTTGGTGCTAGTGTTACACTAAGTGTTTCTGGGGGTAGAAGGTCCTTGGTGGTGTTACTAGTGTTACACTAAGTGTTTCTGGGGGTAGAAGGTCCTTGGTGCTAAGTGTTACACTAAGTGTTTCTGGGGGTAGAAGGTCCTTGGTG